AAACCGGCCAAAATCGATTTAAATCAGTTCAAATTAATTTTGAGCCACAAAATCGCTTTAAATCGATTTAAATCTATCACAGTGGACCAAAATCGATTTAAATCGCTCAAAATTGGCCAAAATCGAAAAGAGCTTTAAATCAGCTTTTCCCCCCTTGTTCAATATGGTCAGTGACCTGTATTTCTATTCATTTTTAATATTACCACATTTACTCAAGTAACACTCCCAAGACTCGTGGAACTGCTCGTAAACTATTAAAAGCTAAAGTTTTGCTTAGCTTCCATTTTTACAGACGACATATCAAGTTATCTCCGTATAAAAGGCACTGAAACTCTCGGAACATTCATCTGCGTTTCTGATAAATGAAACCTAAATAAATTACTGTTCGTAAGTAGTAGATTTGTCAGTAGAAAATGTGAAATATTTTTGTAATAATTATTTTCTAAATAATAAAACTTCGGTTTCGTTGCTCTCTTTACAACTTACTAGTTATCTATTACTAGATAAATGTAAACTTCCACTGACTATAATTCTTTTATAAGTCTATGAAAGGTACTCATTACTGCTTTATCACGTTGTAATAAAGCATCATACCCCTCAACGATCATGTAGTCTATTTTTTGAATAATCTAAATATACAATTTCGAAAGTTTTTGAATTTGTGAAAGGATTGTGCTACTCTTTGTTAATTTTCATTTTTCTTTATGTTTGTATTTTATTTTTGCCCTCCTTTTTCCGCTGAGCTCCAAATACATAACATGTTAGTGTAAAGTTTCTTTTTTCTCTCGAGTTTATTAAGTTTCGCTTTATGAGGTATATGCCAAAACCCCGTTATTGTATACACCATACGATTTTTTCTTATTAAATGGATTGATTGACACCTCGAAATGAAATAATGTCTCAATCATAGGAAAATGAAAAACTAGAGTATATAACACTCAAACATACGAATAATCTTCAGAACTATACTTTATACCGAACAAACACATCTGTATGCATCTCTATAAACTACCAACATCATATTAGCGAACATCTGGTTGTTTCGTATGTTCAACAAATCTAAATAAAAATAAAATAAAAATTGTGTCCTAAACACAGGCACTCTTAATGCTAAGAAATGTATACATCATATATTTGATAAATCTACTGTTTTATTTAGAAAAAAACGCGTCTCTCCCTTAAACTCTTCATATAAAATGAAAAAAAAAGTCGAGTGATACGTTATAACTTTTAAAGCGACAGAATAGAAAAAAAATATATAGAATTTCGGACACAAATACGTATACGGTTGAAAAGAGAAGAAAAATAATTAAATAGTTTATTGTCTGGCGGTAGTAGTACTAGCCATTTGTTTTAATGCTTCTATACATTGTTTAACCATATCTTGTTCTTGTTTTTGTGTTATAGCTTTTCTTACTTCACTTGTTATCCAATTAATCATATTTGTACGTTCAAAATCTTTACGAGCATTTTGTAATGCAATTTGATAATCTAAACAAAGAGATTACCTAATTAGTACCAAACAGATTTGCCCGTTTTAGAAGAAAAGAATTTTGAGAAAAAAACACAGTAGATGATTATAATTGCAGTGTATTTGTTTATTCTTAGGATGGTACTAGAACTATGACAGTTACCAGTTACCGTTACCCGGTAACTGTAACTGCTGAACAGTAGACGTTCTTGGTAACGGTAACCGCTTACCTGTTACCGTTACCAAGAACGTCAACTGTTCAGCAGTTACAGTTACTGTAACGCTAATGGTAACTGTCACAGTCCTAGATGGTATACGATTTGATGAGATACTCTCTGATATCCAAATAAAGCAAAAGTAGTCAAGATGGATAATTTTTTACAGACCTTAACGAGATTCATTCATTCTTAAGAGATGTATTCATTCTACTTTTCAGCAGTCGAATATTCTACTGTTTTTATCTGTCAACCTTAAATAATCTTATTTACTTACCTAACCGTCGTTTAACTCCATCATACATTTGTTTCATTCGTTCTCGATAAATAATTTCTAATTGCATATTTAAAATTTCTTTTCTTGCTTCTGCAACTAAATCAATTGATTTTGCATTTTCAATTTGTTGTTCATAAATGGATATAGCTAAACCGGTTAGAGCTTTTTGCTGTTGAGTACCATTCACAATTATATCAGTCTCTTTTTTTGTCACAGATGAACTAAAATCAGCTAGAAATGGACCAAGTCTAAATAAAATTTAAACAAAAAATAATATACGTATAGATTCTAAAGAGAAAAACTTTTACTCATTAAAATGAAATCATTTTTTGTCTACATACTTCTTCATGAGAACAACTGCGACCACTGCCAATGCTAAATATTCATTAAAATCATACCACAAAACAATCCATTCTTTTGAAAAACCATGTATAAGTACACCTGTTAAGAATATATATGGCCCTGTTACACCTGTTTTCTCATAGAAAAATGTAAACCACGAGTCTGGAACAAAACCCCAACGAACTTTCGATGGTACATCTTTAACGCGATATGGAGGAAAATTAACTAAATCACGTTCAGGCCATTGATCATGTGGAAGTAAACGTTTGCCTTGCCACTCTTTACGCCATTGAATATTTTCTAATCCTTCACGAACACCATCAATAACAGTAGGACCAAATCGACGAGAAAAATCAGGATATGATGAATAGGCCGAAGCTGGTTCAGATGACGTTTTCACCAAATTACCATCTAGAAAAGAATAGAAAATTTCCGTTCGTTTATAATCCCATGACTGAGAAAGCAAGCGCTTCGAGAGTAGAGATCTGCACGAGCAAAACAAGTTTTCCCATGCCCTTCCTGGCCAGTAGTCCATGAAATTTTTTCGCTGCCCATACCTGTGCAGAAAAAAACGTTTATTTTTCTCTCTGATGTGCCACAGACATGATAGCATTTTTTTTGAAAAATCCGTGCCCGTCGAAGGAAATAGTTGCCTGTCCGTGTCTGCGGCCACGAGAATTCCTGTGCAAGTGCAGATCTCTATTCGAGAGACGTCAACCTACGGAAACGTTAGCCAACCATAAAACAGCAAAAGAGTATTTTTTTCTTCATAATCCATTCGATAATTTCAATATTGCTATCAAGCGGCCAACATAAACAATGTAATAGTACACTTTTTGCTCACCTTTTTTTCCGTCGCTACCACTTCGACTTCCTCCATGGCTGTTATTACTATTCGTGCTTAGTTTGTCTTTAACTTTATCAATAACATCTTTTCCTGAATGAGGTTGTTGAAGCACGACAGCAGTGGTTGAAAATTGGCGAAATAATGAAGTGGACGGCAAACGAGCAAATTTTGCCAACATTTTTAGTTGCTTTTCTACAAAAGCAAAACAGTTGTTATATCATTTACGCGACGAAATCAAAATAACCAAACGTAAATAATAACAAATCTCTCTCCCTGATATGATTTGATTCTCTAAAAAAGCAAAAATGAAGAATTCACTATGCGAAACCGCAAAACCAATCAAAACATTAATGAAGACGATTAACAGATTAATGCGTTAAGGTTTCGAGTTCCTAAGAGAAATATGTAAAGGATGTAAATGGAACTTCATGGCCAGTTTTGATCAATCTCGTGTCGAGAGTATTCAGTCATGAAATTATAATATAAAGGAGGTTGTTTCCCGCTAGCCGTCAATTTTTCCCGTCAAAAATGGCCGCCGTTACAAATATAAAAAAGGAAAAAACAAATTTGATTGATCAATTTTTTGAAATCCAGTTCGTAGAAAAATCTATCAATGAAAACAGAGAAATCGGTCTGCAATTGAAAGGTTGACTACGTCTGTCGCTAGCTTATGATCTTTTCTCATTGGTTTGTACCCTTTAGTGA